TAAACAGGAATTAAAAATGATAGTATGAAAAATTTATTTAAAGTAAATTAAAAAGTAGATTGTAAAGATTTTTCAAAACTAATGAAATGGTGTTCACTGATGGGCATAAGAGGATGGTCATTAAAAGACGCAAAAGGATTTATTTGGGAGATTCTTTGAGAAAGACTTTAGTGAACTTAAAATGAGCTAACTGATTTAAAAAAATGTAGCATAATGTTTTCTTTACAGGAACATATTTGAGAAGTGGTTAAGAAAAATATATGGGATGGAAAAAAAAAATCAGCACTGCCTTTGACAATGATCACAATAGTCCCTCATTGCCCACACCCAGGAAAGTACTTACTGGAAGCTTATTTCCATTGAGAAAGACCTTGACATCTTTAGTGGATCCAGCAATATCATATGCTCTTCTAACCATCAGTGCAACAATATCTTTGTCTAGGCTTTGCATTTTAAACTTAGACAAATCAGGGTGGAAGGTAATACATGTATAATCTTCTCCACTAAAGGGCTTGAGTTCCATCTCACCAGCTCTCCCCATGTTATCCCTCCATGTCTATGGAAATAAAGAATAGAGGAGAGAGAAAAAATTCAAGTAATCTCACAAACTAGAACTAAATAACGCAAATTTACAAGTCCTAAAAAACCCTCCCAAACAAACAAAAACCAAAAATCCCCCCACCCCCCCAATATATGTTTATGAATAATTTCCCATGATGTAATAGCTTATAATTATGTTAAACCATTAATACCAATATAAATTGCTATAGTACAATTTATAATCAAGGCACAAGATACCTATTTACTTGCCTGTTTGAACATTTTCTTGTATTCTCTACTGGCTGTTTCCACAGTAAATTTGGTACTGAATATGTTACACAATTTGGCTCCATAGCCATTTCGACCACCTGGGCAAATAAATGTAAAACACTATTTAATTGTTCTTATCTCATTAACAGCTTTATTTCTTAATCACTGGCAATGTTATTCAATTACAGAGATTTATTTCCATGCTTTTAACCTTTATGCCACAGACAGTCATTTAAAAGATGTATTTTTTTTCAGCAACAAATATGTTTTTTATTTTCCTCAATACTCTACCCGTTACTTTCTTTTCTTCATCATCATAGTTACTAGAAGTTAGGAGCTGTCCAAAGATGAGAGCTGGGACATACATCTTCTCAACTTTGTGTTCAACAACAGGAATACCTTTTCCATTATTCCATATACTAATTAAATTATTCTCCCTAAGAAAAGAAGAGTGAAAAATTTTTTATAAAACAGATATTAAATTAGTGCTTAATATTTTTTAATATTTAAATATTATTATCTCTAAAATACATGAGTTCACAAGTCTCAATTTCTTTATGACGCTTTTTCATATATACCTTTTGAACGTCGGCATGCTTAGTTCCTAACACTCCTGAAATAGGAGCCCAGAGAAAAAAAAAAAATCAATCCTTTTCCAACACCTGAGCAGACACTGATAATATTGAAAAAATAGGAAATTTTAAAATGTTAGGATAAACAAAGGGAAATGATTTATGCCCAATGGAAAGAAAAGGACAAAATTTGGAAACAATATTATTATATCACTTTTAAGGGGATCATCTGTACTGTCCCAGCACCCTTAGCTTTCCCACCCAACAAAGTACATTGCAAAACAAATATGAAAGGACATGATTAATTGTAAACTTCCCTGCTCGCTAATAAAATGCTAAAAATTTATTTGGACTTACTTATCTCTTAGTTATTTTAATTCTCAGAAGATAATATATTTTAGTTATAACCGGAAACAAACTATGGTTCTTATTACAAATAGTACTGAGTATTATCTACAAAAAAGACTAACTAAATCTAGCTTAACACTTTTAAAAGACTATGATATCAAGTCCTTAGGAGCATTTGAGTACATCATTAACACGTTTCCCAAAAAGAGTCTAAAGTATAGTTTATGTTATAACTCATCAGGCTAATAACAAGGGGAAGCAACACCCTGACTACCCACAAAGGGGGACATTTATAAGCAGAAATGTTAGATCAAATTATTCTCTATCACCACCTGCTGGTTTACTATTTGAATAGCATCATGAGAAAAAGTTGCAGCTATAGACTCCAGAATACTTAGAGCAGTTAGTGGAGATGCTTACTAAAATATTTAGGGATGAAGTGTCATAATGTCTGTAATTTATTTTGAAATGATTCAGAAAAAATATAGATGGAGCAAATATGGCAAAGTGTTGATAACTGTTGGATCTCGATTGTAGGTATCATAGATTGTTCATTTTAGCCTTCTACCTTTCTGCACTTTTGCAAACTCCCATTTAAAAAAAAGCCAGGGGGCTTCCCTGGTGGCGCAGTGGTTGAGAATCTGCCTGCTAATGCAGGGGACACGGGTTCGAGCCCTGGTCTGGGAAGATCCCACATGCCGCAGAGCAACTAGGCCCGTGAGCCACAGCTACTGAGCCTGCGTGTCTGGAGCCTGTGCTCCGCAACAAGAGAGGCCGCGACAGTGAGAGGCCCGCGCACCGCGATGAAGAGTGGCCCCCGCTTGCCACAACTAGAGAAAGCCCTCGCACAGAAACGAAGACCCAACACAGCAAAAATTAATTAATTAATTAATAAACTCCTAAAAAAAAAAGAAAAATAAATAAAAAAATAAAAAAAGCCAACTTTACTATAAATCAAAGTAAATGCAACTAACAGTAACAATGAGCTATAAAAAACAAAAGACTAAGCAAGAGACTTACGGGTCAACTGTGACTCTAATACAAGACATTTTTGGGTCCCTTTGTTTGTTGTCTGCAGCATTGACTGAAAGAAGATAAAATACACATTGGTAAAAAATTAAAGTATTTTAAAAAACATCCTTTAACTCTAAGACATAAAAAGAAAAAAATCGCAAGCAGCACAGGAATAACATTAATGAGGTTCACTTAGCAAGTTTTATTCATAGGCCTGTTTCTAGGAAAGAAGTCAACTTCCTAGATTCCAGGAGACTGCCTCACCTTTGCCAACTGTTGTTTGAAAAGATAGGATTTCTGGCTACAGAGGGTTTGCTGGGAATGAAACTTCTTAGAAAGGATCTGACCAGTGGACCTTTGTATTAAAGAATATACTCGCCTGCATATAGCTGATTCACTTTGTTATACAGCAGAAACTAACACAACCTTGTTAAGCAATTATATTCTAATAAAGATGTTTAAAAAAAAAAAGAATACACTCACCTAGAATCTCATCAAAGATTTTGTACAAACCAGGAACAAAAGTGACTTCCCTACAGTTAATGCCAATATCTTCATCGTAAACCCACATTTGCTGGAAATAAGGCAAAGAAATATGGTTACTTTGACCATATATTTATTCTATTTTACCATCATGATTACTGTAAAGTCTTCTGGATTAGTAGGATAATATACATGATAGATTAGGTCAGTTCCAGTGACACTCCAAGTAAATGAAGTACAGAAAATTAACCTGGAAAAGTACACATTTTAACTACTTAGTAACTGCATTTAATTAGCTTGGTTTTACCTGGGTCACTGATTCCACAGAGCCAATGTAGGTGTCTGGGCGGAGCAGAATATGTTCCAGTTGTGTTTTCTTTTGGTAGATTCTTTCAATAGACAGTCTTTTCTTAGCATCTTCATTTTTCTTTGTTTTGTTGACTTGCATATTGTCACTTACAGGCTGACAATTTTTTAAAAATTGAAGAGGAGGTATTTTGAGTCACGGGTTTATCAGAAACCATAAACAAAACACCTATCATAGCGATCTGCTTACACACACTAAAACAAATCACAGCCTTTTAGTAGTTATCAGTGGAGCTGACATCGTTTTGTACAAACATGGCAGTTTAAGTTACTGCAGCCAGGTTCCCAGGCGTCCGTTTAAATTGACATATTATTTTGCCAAGTGTGTCTGACATGGAAATATTTTTACGTGTTAGACGCCATCAACAGCATACACCCCCTTCTTTCACCTACTCCACACATATTTACTGAGTGCCTACTAGGTCCCAGGCAAATAATAGATTCTAGTTCAGCAGCAGCAGCAGCAGTTTGCGAGGCTATGGGTCCCATCCTTTGGGCACGTTAACGTTTTGAACACTGGAGGGATGTATTTTGAGCACCTCGGGGCTGCCGGCAGCACGGTGGGAACCCTGTGCCTTGCTCTGCACCTTCCAAGGTCAGGGGCGTTCAATCCCATTTTCAGCCCCAGGTAGAAGAGGAGAGCATCTGTCTGTGCCGCTTAAAGCCCCACGCGGACCATGATCCCACCGATCTACTCCAAGACTAAGTGAATTCCTAGGCACAGTAAAAACACAACTGCACACCCTAGAAGCCAGGTTAGCCGATAATACTTCACTATTAGCACAAGAAAGGGGTTTCAGCCTATTCGCGATCACGCCGAGCCCAGGGGACCCGGATCGACGCGGAACACCGGCTCCCAGTCAGCCTCTGCCGGACCACAGCCCAGGCACCTCCCTCTCTCACAGGCAGCCGAAGGGATGCCGGACCGCGTTGAGGCCCCGCGACGCGACCCTTCCGCGAGCCGTACCTGCAGTGGCGACATCTCCATGGTGACGGTCGTGAAGGACGGCTCGAGAACCCTGCAAGCGACTAAGCCGGAGCAAATTGAGACAATCACGGAGCAAACCTCTTCTCCACAGACGTTCGTCGGTTAAGAGAGCGCTTCCACTCCGGTTTGAGCGTCCCGCTAGCCCGCCCAAACCAGGTAAGCCAATCCCTGAGGCGCTCTCACTGGCACCGATCAGAAAAGCCAATCAGAGCTGTCCTTTTATATTCACCAATGAATGACTGAGCTGGCCGGGGGCCCGTTCGAATGAACCAATTAGGCAAGGGAAGCGGGACTAGAGGACATTCAAAAGGCACCACTCGGAATCGTAGCCGAGAGACGGACAGGGAATCTAGCCAATGACGGGGGCTGGCTTGTTCTCCGTGTGTAACTCTGAGGAGATCCGCTGTGGAAGTGGGAGGGGTTTTTCTGAGGTCCGAGCTGGGGTAAAAAGAGAAAAGTGGAGGGTATGTATACCTCAGGAGCTGCTAACGTCTTTCAGACCACTGAAATCTAAAAACCGTCCTCCATCCTGAGGGTTTTTTTTTTTTTTTTTTAGCGAGAAGAACGGGAGTCCTAGCTCCGTTTCCTGAGGAAACAGCGCCGGCTTTCTGGACAGACACCCCGTGATTTGGTTCAGTTCAGCGAACAGGCTCTGGCGTCTGCCTCAAACTCCGTCCCCCCACCCCCCAACTTTATTTATTTATTTAATAAATTTATTTATTTGGCTGCGTTGGGTCTTCATTGCTACGCATGGGCTTTCTCTAGTTGCAGCGAGCGGGGGCTACTCTTCGTTGCAGTGCGCAGGCTCGGTGTTCTCTTGCTGCAGAGCACGGGCTCTAGGCGCGCGGGCTTCATTAGTTGTGGCACCCGGGCTCAGTAGTTGTGGCTTGCGGTCTCTAGAGCGCAGGCTCAGTAGTTGTGGCACATGGGCTTAGTTGCTCCGCGGCATGTGGGATCGTCCCGGACCCGGGCTCGAACCCATGTCCCCTGCATTGGCAGGCAGATTCTTAACCACTGCGCCACTAGGGAAGTCCCCCCCCCCCCCCCATTTATTTTTGAAGAAACAAAAGCTGTATAGTTGGTGGGTTTTCGTATAATAGAAGGGCATAGAGAGGCCACACAGAAGAGAGAGCAGCATTCCAGGCCCCGGGGAAGAGAGGCGTGGGGCTGCGACTGGTCAATCAAAGGGAATAATTTATAGTCACCACCTCAGGAGTTGAGGATGGTTTAGGAGCCATTCTAAGACCATAACTTTTCCCTCAGACGGCCAGCAGGATGCCCTCGTACTTGTTACTTTTGCTCTCCTCTGATTTAAATTCCCTGAGCCCTGCAGTCCAGATTTGACGAGGAAATGCCAAAGACCGAAGTGTTTACTCTGACGTCTAAATGTTTGAATGGGTTTCTTCTGTCCTCCTCAATCCACAAGGTTAAAATGACAAAAAAAAAAAAAAAAAGTCGTTGCCCTTACAAGATGCTAGAAAAAATAACTGCACAATTAGAGTGACTACGAACCCATCAGGACCACCTCCTTCCAATCATTATTCCCCTAGTTTCAATCCCAACTCAGCAATTTGCCAGTTGTGTGGTCTTGATGGAGGCAGGCTTCTCGGTGTTTTCTTTTCCTCCTCTCAAAAAAGAGAAGAAAAATAACTGTTACCGCAGAGTGGTGTGCGTATTACAGGACATAAACATAAGGTGTTTAGAATAGTAAACTAACAGTGTCAGAATCAGGAAGCAGGGATTTTCCTTAGGTTGGCATGACAATTTGTGGATTTATCCTTTTTTTTCCTTCGAAAAGAAATCAGGTCAACCAATTGTTAAATCACCGCAGAGTATCCAATGCCCACTCTGCTGGCAAAGCCCCAGGGAGGGCCAGTGAGGAGGGGGTGTGTTGTGACAGGAAGTCAGGGATGGAAGTGGCCCACAGACTAGGGTAATTGGAAAAGCCAAAGGAATGGAGCTTTGGCATTGCTCTGGTCCCTGTCCTATTGGTCTCCTGGCCTCTGGTAGTTTCTGAGTGTTTTCAGCTCCACCCTGCTCAACACCTGCTCTGTACTGACACAGAAAGGCAGCCTCAGGCTTCCCTGGTGGCGCAGTGGTTGAGAGTTCGCCTGCCGATGCAGGGGACTCGGGTTCGTGCCCCGGTCCAGGATGATCCCACATGCCGCAGAGGGGCTGGGCCCGTGAGCCATGGCCGCTGAGCCTGCACGTCCGGAGCCTGTGCTCCGCAACGGGAGAGGCCACAGCAGTGAGAGGCCCGCGTACCGTAAAAAAAAAAAAAAAAAGAAAAAAGAAAGGCAGCCTCAATGCACAGGACCACCAGGGTCTCAGAGCAGTTGTAGGGAAGCCCATCCACATCCAGTAGCTTCTGCCCATCTGGAAGGCTGAGCAGGTCCTAGGCTCTGGGGCCAGCCTGTCATTCTCTGCAGCTTCCCCAAGACACAGGGTGACCCTGACAGAGACCAGCCATGCCTTCTACCTCTTGGAACACAGAGGCCCCAGGTAGTAAGGGTAGGTGGGCATCCTTCCCCAAGGATGGCAATCCAGCCTCTGCCTCTTGGCCTCCACCTTGTAGCTCATCCCAGCCTGCAATTCCCTGCAAGACCCATGTGGGGATGAGGCGATGGGAATTTAATAAGCAGCTCCAGCCCTATTTTCTGGTACCCAGCTTTAAATATCCCTGCAGTTTAGCCTGATCCTGACTGTGTGGGTCTTTGTTCCAAAGGCCCTGAAGCAGAACTGGGGAGTCAAAAGGAATTTGGAGTCATACATGCCTGAGTCAGAAATCTCCCTGAGCCTCAATTTCCCCATGTCATTATCGTTTATCAAAGGTACAGAGGGCTAAATGAGATATGGAAGCACCTAAGACAACCTTCCAGTCCTCCAGCCCAGGATGGTCTTGTGGTGGGGTGGGGCAGTGGGGGTGGGCTTCTCTTCGGGACACAAGCTATTTCTCTTTCAGCCCCTCCTCCTTTCCAGAGCCTATCACAGAGGGTCCTGCAGGACTTGAGGTAGGAGAGGGGGAAGACGGGAGTCTGGGACAGGTGGCCTGGGAGGCATCGTCCACAAAGAGAGAGTTCTAGGTGCCTGCTAGCCTCTAGTCCTGGGAGGCAAGAAGGGATTGGGGGTCAGTTCCAAGGAGAGAGGGGGCTGCCACCACCCTCATCCTCCCCCGACCCCTCCTTCCCCCAATTCCGCAGGGGCCCAAACTAGATTCTCTGGACCTTGCCCCCATCTTTACACCCACCTGTAGGGGCGAAGTTGAGTAACTGAGTCAGATTCCTGATTTGCTGGGTGTATGACCTTGGGCGAGTCACTCAGGCTCACTGTACCTCCACTTCTTCATCTAAAATGGGGATAATGAGAGTACCTCCCCACAGGGTGGGTAACACATGCAAAGCCCTTAGTGCATTGCTTGGCAAATTAGTAAGTGCTCAAAACATGTTAGCAGTTATTACCTCTACTCCTTTTCAAGACCTTCCTCCCAAATCCTGGTCCATTTTAACAAATCCATTCTTCCAAAACCAATTCAAAATTTCCCTCTTCCAAGGAGTCTCCAGAGAATCTTCTCAGGCCATCTTTTTTTACTGAGGCTCCCTCAAGACCTTTGGAGTACATTTGCATATGCAGATGAGTTCCTTTCATCAGTATTTCTTCTGGGTGTTGTGCATTTCCTGTCTCTCCACTCAGTGGGGGAGGGGTCTCCATCCTCCCACTGGGAACTCCCCTTGGAAGGGCAGTGTTTCTTTCCTCTAGAATGAAGTTGATCTAGGTGTACTGATATGGAAATATCACTAAGATATATTGTTAAGTTTTAAAAAGTGAGGTAAAGAATAGTGTGTAGGGCATAATCCCGTTTGGGTAAATGTTTATGTATGCATTGAAAAACATCTGGAAGGAATTGTAAACATGGAGGCAAAGGAAAACTGTTCATGTTTTCCCTTCTATCCTATGTGAAAAATTTTAAATTCTAGACATATTATTTTTATAATGTGACAAGTTAGCTTAAATAAGCAAAATTTAAAAGATTTCCCTCAGTAATCATGGGTCTGGGTAATTCTCTGTTTCATTACCTTTTGCCACATGGCTTTCTAAGTGTTTGTTTTCCTCCATGCCCTACACCCTTCTCATTGCTGTCCCTTTTCCGCACCTCAGTGAAGACATGGCATACCTGACTATACAAGTTTATGTGAGAATGTGAGCTTCGTAGATAGAGAGGTTTTCAATATACGGGGGGAACTTGCAGTTGATTGAACCCAGTGGTGAAGACTCTGCAGAAAAACTCAATGTTTGGACCAAATTGAGGGACAGTGTGTAGTGGTGGGAAGTCCTAGCTCAGCTGTGTCGTCACTAGTTGCATGACCTTGGGCACATCTCCTCTCTCTAGGTCTCAGTTTCCCCACCTGTAAACTGAAGTCTATGCCTTCCTCAGTCTTAGAGAGGTGATGGTGAGAATGGGGAGGTTGGTTAGAGGAGGTGAGGCCCAGGTTCTCCAACCCAGAGAAGCTCCATTTTCATCTTCTATGTCCTGTGTAAGATTCTGTGCAAGATTTCATTTGAAAATGATGATCCACTACTTACATTAAAAAAACAAACGAACAAAAATGAACAAACAAAAACCCTGGGCAAATGATTTTTAAGCGGGAGAGCCCTTCTTGTTTTAACACTGTGTGATTGCAAATATAACTTTTTGTGCATTGAGTTGGTTTAAATCAGGGTATGTCTGCATCTTTGTCTTCCCCTCCCCCGCCAGTGCCCAGCCTGGAGCTGCACCAGAGCTCAAGCCCACTGGAGTTTACATTTCTATGAATTGTGCTATAAATTATTTATCAGATTCAAGCCTAGTATTATTTAAACACTTACGTTTTACTCATTTAACAGAGTGATTTTTCAAAAAGCCTAATCAGGGCTTCTCTGGTGGCGCAGTGGTTGAGAGTCCGCCTGCCGATGCAGGGGACACGGGTTCGAGACCCGGTCCGGGAGGATCCCACATGCTGCAGAGCGGCTGGGCCCGTGAGCCATGGCCGCTGAGCCTGTGTGTCCGGAGCCTGTGCTCCACGACGGGAGAGGCCACAGCAGTGAGAGGCTTGTGTACTGAAAAAAAAAAAAAAAAAAAAGCCTAATCAAGTGGGGAAATGTAATATAGCCCCTGTCTGGAGTAGCCTCTGCTTGGAATGATGTCTGTGATGGTTAATTTTCTGTGTCAACTTGGCTAGGCTAGGGTATCCGGTGTTTGGTCAAACTCTAGTCTAGATATTGCTGTGAAGGTATTTTGTAGATGTAATTAGCATCATCTACAATCAGTTGACCTTAAGTAAAAGGATTAACCCTTTATAATTCCAGTGGGCCTCATCTGATCAGTTGAAGGCCTTAAGAGCAGAAAACAGGTTTCCCAGAAAGAATTCTGCCTCAAGACTGTAACATAGAAATCCTGCAAGAGTCTCCAGCCTGCCGGTCTGCCCTACAGATTGCAGACTTGTCAACTCCCATAATCGGAGCCAGTTCCTTAGAATAAATCGGATATATGTAAATTTCTGAGTGCGGGTTATGTACTAGATACTATAATAAGCACCTTACATAATTCCCACCCCCCCGATCTTTACAAAAACCTTTTAAACTGAGAAAACTGAGGCTTGGAGGGTGACTTCCTCAAGACTGTGAATTTCTACTTACCTTTCAAGACTTAGATCCAAAGTCTCCTCCCTTGAAGCTCTTCCTAACCACTCTGGCTCCTCTGTTTTCTTGGCATCCGGGGCATTTCTCTCTATTATGCAGCACTGACCGTGGTGTGTTTACCTGCAGGGCTCCGTGTTCAGACCACAAGCACTTCTGAAGGCAGGGACTGCCTGCGTCTTTGGAATCCTCAGCACCTTGTACGATGCCCATTATTCCCCAGGAGGCTCTCCGCTAACGGTACTATCAGTACTCTCATTGTCCACATGGGGGCAGCATACCAGCAGCAAAACCCCTGTTTCAGGAGCGCAGGACTCTGGAGGGCTGGCCTGGCAAAGTCAAACACTAAAGTGAAGGGAAATGCCTCTGCTTGCGCCCCCAACTGGAAGCTAGGGCCCACTGTACCAACAGTTTGCTCTATCCTCCGGGGATTCAGTGGAAAGCTCAGTATCTATTACTGATGTTGGCTGGGCTGCCGTTGGGGACACTGGGACTGTCCTGGAGCATCTGGGCCTGGACTCTCTCCCCAGTGAGGGAGTTGCAGGAAAGATAAACCCAGAAGAGGCAGAAGGGGTCAGCTGCAAGCGTCCCAGGAGAGACTTTTCCTGAGTAAGTCTGCATCCCCATGAGGTGAAAAGGCGAGGAATTCTCCACTAGGGCGAATGAATCCTACTCCTAACTGGAAAGTGGATAAAGAGTCAGCAGGCCCAGCAATCTCATTCACAAGCCCTCCTCCTCCTACGGTTCTCTCAGCTACTCTGTTCTTCCCAGATTACTTTATTTCTTGGCCTCGCCACTCAGCTTGCAGGATCTTAGTTCCCTGACCAGGGATCGAACCTGGGCACCTCTAAGGATGGGGTGAGGTGGGGGTGTGCTTAGGTGTGGTGCTCCTCTATCCACATGCCTCACGTGCACTCAGCAGAGAGGTGGGACTCAGGTTAGGTCTGTCCTCTGGAAGCAGAGCCAGGGCAGTCCCACGGGGTCTCTGTAGACACCCTCCTACCTCCTTTTCTTGGGGCTACCTGAATACAGAAGGTGTGTGTTGGGGGGTAGTGATGGGGGTACTGGCAGTAGGGAGGAGGGTGTCCACTGATGCCACTCGGAAAGAGGTGGAGCAGATGAAGGAATGAGGGGAACGGCAGGGGATTGCAAAGGACAAATTTTGAGCAAACAAATGAGAGAAGAGAGGATGAAGGGAGCATCTGGAATCATTTATTCTGAGGGGAAAAAAATACTTTCACAGGCTTCACTGACATATGAGAAGTGAGATGTCTAAGATCACACAATTCCCAGACTATTGATGTTCTACTACATACACTGCCTCCTCAAAGCCAATTAATCTCTAACAGCGGATGGTGAGATCTGAAAGGCAGATTTGAGAACATTGCTTCAGGGAGGAAGAGGAAATAAGAGAGAAAGAGGGGACAGCAGCCATGAAGGAGGGGTCCTCTGTCCTGTCCTCTCAGGGAGATCCAACTGAGCATAGATGACATTTCCAGATGGACCTGGGGCTCCAGGAGGCCCCTCCAAGCCTATGGGACAAACCTAGGGCATCCATAGAGCCTCCCTCTGCTCTTTGGCCCTGCACTGGGAAGGGGGGTAGGACACAGGATGAGATGAGCTCTTCAGTCCTGGGGAAAGACCCCCAAAGGGAGAGAGATAGGTGGGAGAGAGGGGAGGTAGGGTAGAGGGTCAGTGAACCAACAGTAGATATTCCTGAGCATCTATTACATGCCAGTCTAAGACCACACAGGGATGCGTCGGACACAGTGTCTTACATGTGAGCAGCATTTGTTATGGGAAAGGTTGTAGGGAAGGATGGAGGTGAGGTGCTAAAGAAAAGGAGGGAGGGAGAAAGTAAAGAAACAGGGGGAAGAGGAGGAGAGAAAGGCCCAGTTGCCGATGTCCAGTAACTCACATTCTACTCATGGCAATAGGACAACTAGAAAAATGATGGCTAAAACTCAGCGATAAGTGAGCAGTCCCCAGAAAGAAGTTAAAAAGGGTGTTGAGGGAGTTGCAGGCGGGCTCAGGATGGAGGAGACTGGGAGCCAAGGTGAGTGGACCTGGCTGACTTGTCTGGCCTGGAGGAAACTCTTGCCCAGAGGGTCCCCCACCAGTCCCTGACCTCCATGGGAGCCCATGTGGGCTTGGCAGCCTTGGACAGCCAGGGCTGCCCTGCGGTTCCTGGGAGCCCACCAGTCCCAGTCCCTAGGTATCCAGGGTGGTCCTGGGAGTCTTCATGGCCAGGGTATCCCTGATGTCCTGGGGGTTCTGGAAACTACTGGCAGCCAGGGGGACCGGGAGGCCTAATTCCATCCTGTATGTGGAAGGAGAGGCAGGAAGGGTGGAGGTGAACCACAGAAGGGGAGGGTATATATTTGGGGTGAGGGACTTTTTGTAGGGGAAGGCAATGGGGCTAAGCCAGGAGCCCTGATGGGAGTAGAAAGTTATCAGAGGTTTAGAAATTTTGGTCCCAACCCTGACCTTGGAGGAGAGAAGTGCCGGAGATTGAGTTCAATCACCAATGATTTAATCAATCATGCCCATGTAATGAAGCCTCCATAAAAACCCAGAAGGATGGGATTTGGAGAGCTCCTGCATCACGAACACTCAGAGAGCTAAGAGGGTGGCTGGGTAGGAGAAGCTCCACCCACCTTTCCCCATACCTTGCCCTATGCCTCTCTTCCATCTGGTTGTTCCTGAGTTATATCCTTTTATAATAAACCAGTAATCTAGTAAGTAAAACGTTTCTCTGAGTTCTGTGAGGTGCCCCAGCAAATTAATCGAACCCAAGGCGGGGCGTCATTGGAACTTCTTATATAAAGCTGGTCAGTCAGAAGCCCAGGT